GACACCGCTTCTGCGTCTCGGAGCACGTGATATATTATAAGGAGTAACGATATGTTTTATGAAATGTAGTGAAGTAAAAAGTACGATCTTATGCTTTGGAATGTAGTGAAGTAAAAGTAAAAGTTACTCAAAATAAAACTACTCCAGTAAAGTACAGATACTTGAAAAATGTACTTAAGTACAGTAACGAAGTAAAGCTACTCCGTTACTGTCCACCACTGCTTTACTGTATCTAGGCTATTATGACAAGTATGTGTGGTAAATGATCCTAATCGATTACTGACTGAACCATTATGAGATAAGAATAAATGCAGTGGAGTCAGTGCAAATGTCCTAAATGTTATTGCTGTAAAACTTGTCATGACGAGCAGGAAGGGGCAGTGAAGTGCTCTGATCTACTAGTCAGCTTAGCCAGTAGGTGAGATCTTGTGCATTTTCTATGTGGATGAAGGGTAGAAGGTTCATTCTGTCCTTTAAGGAGGTCATGTCCTACATTTTATATCATTTTATTGTTTCCCTGAAGTCCACTTTTAATAAGTCATGGTTTCATGCACAAAGAACAGTCATAATTTAGTTTTATATGAACACTATACCCAATCTAAACCTAAGATTTAAAGGGCTAGTTCAACCAAAAATGAAAATACTGTCATCATTTACTTTTTTTTTTTTTTTTTTTAAAAAACAAAAAAAAAAAAAAAAAAAAAAAAAAAAAAATGAATGTACAAGTTTAGTGATTTACTACATTTCATTAAAAAATAATCCAGTCATGACTAGGAATGGTCTGTAATAAACATTGTCTGATGGTTAAATTAACTTCATTTTAGAAATAATTCATGATTTACATATTACTTTTAACATTACAAAAACTGGTGTAATGTAATGAAGTAATAATACTTCGTTACAGTACTTCATTATTTTTTTGGGAGTATCTGTACTTTACTTGAGTTGTTATATTTCAGCCAACATTTACTTTTACTTCACTACATTTCCTAATTCAAATGTATACTTTTACTCCGATACATTTCCTGGAAGCATATTCGTTACTTACTACAAAATACTCAGAAGTCAGAAGAACACGGACTGCAGGAAAGCAGGTTTGGCGAATCAGTGGTCTGGCGTTTGCAAGTTAGACTCCTAAAAACACCTTTGCTCATGTGCAAACAAATGCGCGCACAACCGCGGATGATTCATTTTCCACTCAAGTCGAGTCTGGGGTGTGTGATACAGCATCGTCTGCGATAATACGGTAAGTGTTGTTGTAATGAGATCGAGTATATCACCAAATGACAAAAAGAGTTTTTATATTTATATAATTTAATATAGTTAACTTAATCTATATCACACAAAGAGTATGTCGGTTTTAATTTCACATTTCGACTTTTTTTCACGTTTTAAAATAATTTCAAGTATCAGTATTCAACGTATTATGTTAAAAACAAAACATTATTTATGCATCTGTAACTGCAGGTTAAATGCATCCATGTCCCCTCTGAGATACATTAAACTGTGTAAATGCATCTAAATGCTATTCCAGATGCAGGTTCCAGAAATGTTTTCTTATGTTGAAATGAAAGACACTAAGTACCAGATGAAGTGCTTCTTATTCTTACCCAAAGATACAAAATGGAAGAACAAGTTAAAACTGAACACAATCTTGCTACTCAAGCGGTGTAATATATAATTTTTTATATATATATTTATTTGCTTCTTTTCCATTTTGAATTTACATGTACTTTCACTTTCAATACTTAAGTACGTTTAAGATTTAAAAAAATACTTTTCGTACTTAAGTACAATAAATATCACATACTTTAAGACTTTTACTCAAGTAATATTCTAAACGGTGACTTCAACTTCTACCAAAGTCATTTTCTGGTAAGATATCTATACTTTTACTTGAGTACGGCTTTCAGGTACGTTATACACCACTGCAAAAAGCAACAACAACAACAAAAACAATTTAACGTTATACAGTTTCCATATACATGGGTCCTTAATTGTGGACCGAAGATCTACCACCTTTGTGATTTTTTTCTTTCTTTCTTCTTCTTATTATTATTATTTAAATATAAGTGTAAAACATTTTATATTTTAGTTTTACTATTTTAGTTTTCTATTCTATTTAAAGGGGTCATATGATGCGATTTTTCCTTTCTCTTTGGATTGTTAAGTTCTGTAAAGTTGCAAAGACTAAAGTCTCAAATCCAAAGAGATATTCTTTATAAAAGCTAAGAGTCAATCACGCCTACCTAAAACGGCTCGTTCTAACATGCCCCAACATACCTACGTC